GGGGGTGGGGGGGAAAGCGGCGGTTGTTAAAAGTCCTTCGGAAAGCTCCAAATTTAATGCCCTTTCGCTCACCTGGGGCTGGGGGTACAGCCACCGTCCCGCTGTTCCCGTCACCCTGGTTTGGGGCGGAAATGCTCTGCTTCCCTCCCCGCCTTTTTTTCTTCTCTCCCCTCTTCTTCCCCTTTCTGCTTTTCTTTAAGTGATTGCAAGCCATCTTCCTTAATTTCAGTTATTTCACATGCCAGAAAGTCACTTTCTTCTGCTGATAATCAGCTAGTGAGGAGCTGCTATTGCCCAGATGAAATGATGCACCAGTGAGTTACTACTATTAAAGAGAAAAGGGGGGAAAAAATTATCCAGTTCCCCAAGGCAGCCCCGTGTGCATAGTGCTGTCATTTGCCAAGAACTGTCATACTTGCCTTAACGTTTATGTCTTGTCTTACATTTAAGTCTTAAAAACTTCTGTCTTATGTTTTTTACATGTCTTATGTTTAATTTTATCAATTATTTGTGCGCAATGACCGTACAGAATTGACCTCTTGTTCCAAGAGTGAGATAGGGAACTTATTCATGAATAAAATTAAAGAGAATTGCCAGCCTTTCACTAGAGGTACAATACTTGTGCTCTGGTAGCGCGTGGTTGCTGTTGTATCATTGCAGCTAGTGGAAATCACGTGCTAGGCAATATTTTGTTTTTTATTCAGTTACGAGTTTGTAGGTGCGATTAAAATCTTGCTTCGGTTGAAGATTAAAAAACTTCCTTGTGCAACTCTACCTGCAGGTGAGGTAACTCAGGTAGGCAAAGGTGGGGCTTTGAGAGAACCAGGAAAGAGAGGCAGTTTCACAGCTCTGGAAGAGGAAGGTTTCAGGGGGCAGGAATGTGCATGCAACACACACGCACAAGCTGTCCGCCTGTCTCCACGAAGCCCCTGCCTCGAAACACTTGGCATGAGTGAACTCCTGGGCTACTTGTGAAATCAGAGAAGGTAAATAAATAACTAAATGAATCAAATCTTAGTACTGTGACTCTGTTGTTGTAAACGCATGGGAGGGAGGAGCTATACACATATATTGAGGTAAAAGCAATATCTGACGTCCTCTTCCTAAGAAATGTGGGAGCCTTCTACCTGTGGGAGCTTTTCTCAACCACAGAGAGAAGGAGTTATGATTTAGCTCCTAGAGCTTTACCTGGGGGAAGGATTGATACTGCCTAAAATGCGTCCTGAATGTTTACTGGAAAGACTCTGAAAAGCTAGTATTGTTTCTTTAAAATTTTCCGTGTTTAGTTTTCTTGTTTGCTTGCTGGTAAAACTACCAATCCTCTTGCGTTTCTGGTTCTCAGGAGTGTGTGTGTGCTTGAAACTTGCCGTTATTAAGTTACTTTAATAAGGAATAAATCAGAGTAATTTTTGCTTTTGTTTAACAGTGTTAGGAGAATGTTAAATACACAAGGCTGTTTCAAAAGGGTGAGCAAGAAAAGTTTATCAAACAGATTGGTCCCAGTAGCTGGATGATAAGGGAATGATCTGATCGGCCTGCTGGTCGAGTGCACAGTATACCATGATGCAATACACGGTGCTTCTTGCTAATATTACATAAACAAAATAAATAAACTGTTCTTTTCATTCAGTGGCCAAAACAAATTTCCTGTTGCCCCTAGCACTATCTTGGCTGCTTGACCAACCTTCGGGTATGTGTTCTTGGAAGAAGCATTTTAGTACTGTGACTTGTTGTCACAAAACCTGGCTTAGCTTTTGCCATGAGAAGAGCATCTCTAGACTAAACAAGCCCAGTCGCTTAGTCTTTCCTCTTACGAGAGATGCTCCAGTCCCTTAATCATCTTTGTGGCTCTATGCTGGACCTTCTCTAGAAGCTCCATGTCCCTCTTTACTGGGGAGCCCAGAACTGCACCCAATACTCCAGGTGCGGCCTCACCAGAGCTGAGGAGAGGAGCAGGATCCCTCCCTCCTGCTGGCAACGCTCCTCCTGATGCAGGCCAGGCTCCCATTGGCCTTCTTGGCCACAAGGGCACATTGCTGCCTCATGGGTAACTTGTCAGCCAGGGCTCCCAAATCCTTCTCCATGGAGCTGCTTTCCAGCAGGTCAAAGCCTGATCTGTCCTGGTGCCTGGCGTTATTCCTCTCCAGGTGCAGGACTCTACACTTGTCCTGGTTGAACCTCATAAGGCTCCTCTCTTCCCAACTCTCCAACCTGTCTGTGTCCCTCTGAATGGCAGCACAGCCCTCTCCAAACACCACCCAGTCTGTTATCTTCTGCAAACTTGCTTGGGGTGAATTCTGTCCCCTCATCTAAGTCACTGATGAACAAGTTGAACGGCACTATTTGTCACAACCCTCTGTGCTCTGCCAGTTCTCAAGAACTGGCTTTCAGTCCTGACCAACCAGAGAATTTGAAAGGAGAACCTCCTCTTTGTGTGTATTTCTGTCCTCTACTTCTGAGTTTACCTATGTTCAACCCATGAACCCATGTTCAACCCGTGTATGCAAGTTCAACCCATGCCCTTTCAATCAAGTGAAGGTATCTGTTACAAAGGCCTACAGCCTTTGAAATGTTATAAAAAGAAAAGTATGTGATTAGGGAAAACCTTTTACCTGCATTTAACCAAGTTTTCTTCTCCTCTTTTATGCTGTCAGAAGTGGGTCTACTATCAAGGAAGAAATGAAGGCACAGGAAATACCACCTCTTCTCATCTATTTATTCCATATATGCCCTACAGTTTGGGGTAGGTTTTAGTCATTTTGTTTAAGAAAAATAAGACACCTGTCGGTTCGCTTTTTGCAGAAGTTGCTGAGGACTGTCCCAAGAGGCTGGGACGCAGTAAAGCCATTTTAAGAAACTGCATCCTTGTGTCTTGCTTTGGGGATGGTGCAGCCAGTTGAGTTGTGTCTGTGTGAGGTTTTATGTAATCCAGATATCTGCAACACGGTCATATGATGGTTTAAATGAATGGCAAACTGTAGCCTGAAGGTGGGGAGTCCTTCAGGTGGTTTTGATGTTTTTGGTACTTCTCTGGTACTATTGGAAATCATTTGAAGCTCAGGTGCTCAAGTGGAGGTGTGATTATTTGGATACAGAGGTGTGTAGTCTGGCTGCCTGTTTAGACAGGTTACAAGCTGGAAGAGCAGAGCCCTGCAGGGGCTGAGTGGCTTTATTCTGCTAAGTGCTGCTCCACCTTGCCTGTGATGTTGAAGCCAGCAGTAGGAGTAGGAACACACAGTAGAGTGTGTTCTCTACCAGGAAACACACTGGTGGGATGTTCTACCTGCCAGAGCATTTTTGTTAAGAGAAGGAGGAACAGAAATACATATATAGACAGAATTTAATCTAACTTAGTAACCTTTATGTGCTTTAGGTTCTAGAGAACAGAAAACAGTAACAGGACACATTTTTAGAGACAGCATCCTCCCCTGCTCTTTTCCACGTGGTAATGATGTAGTAATTTACTGGAAGAAAAAGGACAAAAATGTGCACAGTTACTACTATCAGAAGGATCAACTAGGAATGCAAGACGTGGACTACAGAAACAGAACTTACCTTTTTCACGGGGACATTGGTAATGGAAATGCCTCCTTGAAACTTAGGAACCTGACCTTTACTGATGAGGGCCTTTATCAGTGCTATGTGGGAACACAGGAAACTAAAACAGAAGAGGATGTCATGCTGCATGTAAAAGGTAAAAAAACATCAAAATTGTTTGGATTGCTCCAATAGGAATTGGACACCATATTTATTTGTCACAGGGAACTGAAACCCAACAGAGCACCTTTTGAACCTGTTAGTATTCCCATGCAATTCATTTTCTCTGATGAAATTCTGTTATAACAGAATTTGAAAAAAAAATCACAGTGCAGAGTGTGTTCTCATAACCCACTGCATGGCAATTTTTAAAGATTTATGAGATGGCGCTCCTGAGATTTAAATACATGATGTGGATTCTCAGAACAGTGAGAACTCCAGCATTGACGGTAAATAATACTATACTGTCTTCTGAAACAAAACAGCTTAAGTTTCCTTGTCAGTTACATCTATTTGCCCCAATAATTTTCCAGAAGTCCAATCACTTCAAATTTAAAAGTATTTTGAAATTCATAGTACTTCTTTATATTCACAGATTCCTCTTATCGTGCACTGGAGTACCAAAAGACAGACAGCGAAAGGCTGCTGAGGTGCTTTGCCTTTCTTACTTATTCAGTGCCAAGTATAACTTGGACACAAGGCAACGCCTCCATCCAACCATCCGGTCTGGAGGAAACGCGGGTTGGAATTCTCCATACTGTTAGAAGTGACCAGGACATTACAAACACATCTGTTCCTTACCGGTGTCGCATTTACCTCCGTCGGGACGAGTGGGCTGCTGAATGGAAGATGGAAGGTAGCAACGACCTAGTCGCATCCTGGATCATTACTAGCTTCTTTCTTACCTTTCTTTCTTTATCATTTTCATGTTTTGAGGTGCGTAATGATCAGTCTTTACACTCTGTTGAGCTGAGCCAGACTATATGAAAACCTTAGTGTTCCCATGGGTTGTTCAAGGGAGAGGAAGGCTCGACTGCTGCTGTAGATGTGTCTGTTTCTCGCTCAGTCCATTCCCTAATCTTTGCCCGAGTTTATTCAGCACCATTTGATTTTTTCCTTTTAACTCAAAATGTGTTCCTTATGCACTCAGGTTCAGAGTTGGAGGAGCATGGGAAGGAAGAGCAGCAAGGCAAGTTCAGATTCGGGCAAACAGCAGATGAGTTTGTTAGTCAAGGAAGAGCAGCACTGTGAAATTTAAAGTCCCCATTTTATCCTGCTTGTGCAGTTCCAGGTATTCACTGGAAATACAGTTTGATAAGTAACTGTAACTTTTCAAGCTCACGTATTTAGTGTTTCTGAGCAGCAATGCAAGAGTAGTTCCCTAGTGATATATGCTTGTCTGCCTCCATTGCCCCAATTTCCCCCTAATGTACCCAGAACACTCTCACTTCCCAGGTTGATATATACACTTTAGGGACAAACACATTGTTTTGAATTTACATATAATAGCACACAATAGTAGGTTTCAAGTATGTTATCATATTATCTAACAAGTGCAGTAAATGTCTCTCATTAATCTCTCCTCCTAATTGTAAAAGAAAGTGCTACATTTCATTACATTTTTTTAAATTGTATTTGCATGCATCCATCTCATTGGAATGCTTTTGAGAAGGTGCTGTTTTCCTTGTGAATAATGACAGCAAAGGACACAGTTTTGTTTTGTTTTCCCTCAATGTCTTTCAGTCCCACTCCAACCAAGTTTGGATCTACCATGTCAAAATAACATATTAATTTCCTCTCCATCAGGCTCCCAACAACCACAGCTTGCTCTACTTTTCCTTCCTTTGAAGCAAATCCCTGCAGTTAGGTTGATAATTGTGCTAAATCCTATGTTAATCTTTTCTACAATCATTAGGTGTTATGCCTATTACCTGACCTTTTCCTTCCTTTCTTCTTTTAAAATAAGCCATTCATTGAATTTAAATGTTCAACCCAGATAGGTCTATTGTATCTAAAAGTTATTTCTAACTAAAGGTAGTATTGTTAAAGTAAATATAGACATTTTATTACTTTAATAAGGCCAACAGTGTGGTAACAGTATTTTTTGGATAATGTAGGCATGTTTGGAAAAAAGCCTCTATATTTTTTAATATCTCCTAAAAAAAAAATCAGATGTTTGCAGAAGTTTCCTGACATGTTTGAATATAATATCAAAATCATGAAATGTTTTTAGAATTGTGCACGGTAGTACAATCAGTTGAAACTTCAGAAGATTTCAAATAGCTTTTAAAATATTTTCCAAAATATTCCTGCGAGTTTTTCAATTACCTGTTTCAGAGCAACTTTCCAGTGTGGAAGGAAATAGCACGACAATTCCCTGTGAATGCATCAACTGCACTTCTTCACACACTGAAGATTTCAGCGTTGTTTGGACAATAAACAGAAATGCAGTAATTTCAGTCCTGGCCTCCTTCAATGGCACATCCCACTCTTACCAACCACGAGCCCAAATTAACACAACTGACTTTTCACTGATGTTAAGCGATCTTACTGCAGACGACAGCGGAGAATATCTCTGTAATATTTCAACACCTCACTACACAAAACTTATAGTGAGAAGTTTGCACGTTGGTAAGTCCCTGCCGTTTCCACCTTGCGGGAGGGAGCTAATCCCCTGACTTCCCACTGACTGCTTTCAGAAATGAGAACTCACAGCAACTTACAGAATTAAATTCTAAATGCTGTGTCAATAGCAAGTATAGAGCTTGCATAAGCAAGCATTTGCAATTTAAAAGGCTGAAAGAAGAAGAAAAAAAAAACAGTACAGCGCTCCTCATTTCGATTTTTAAGCAAGAAGAGAACTTGAAACAAGTCATTAGTATGGCATGAAAAATAAAGGCAACATAGCAAAAGGGAATAGAATAGAAAAGGGAATAGAATAATATTTGCGAATTGTTATGCCCTCTGTCCCCCTGGATAGATAAGTCTCAGAACACAAACTTGATTAGGGCTGTTTTAAAACATTTCGTTGATGTGTAGCATGTTTTAAATGGCAATGGGTATATATAATCTGAAGAGGGAAGGGAGTTATTTTAAAGAAAACTGTACTGTGAGACACTTCCTTGCAGCTCAAAAGCCAGGATCATCGTCCTTAGCCTGTAGATCTAATACTGCAGCTCTGCAGCAGACTCTCCCAAGGTTTTTTACACACCCAGGTGATGCTCCTGACTTAAGTGTGTGCTAAAGCTTTTCTCTAAATGCTTTTCTGTAGCCCCTTACTGCAAAACAAAACTTTACAGGACACAGCATCAGAAAGGAAGCCTAAAGTGGAGGAAAAAAAAGAAAGAAAGGACAAAGTAAAGAAAATAGAAAGGAGTGAGTCCCATGAGTCTGAGTGGTTTCAGATTGTTGAAATCGGCTGGAATGATGAGGAGCGGGGCCAAATAGGACCAGCCTCTACTCCAGGGAACACAGAACTGTTCTCTGTGAAGTCTGATTTTACCAGTTCAGGATCTGCTGCTTTTTGTGCTCACCCGGGCTGGACAGTGGCATTATAAATTTGGGAAATATTTTAGATGAAAGTTGCAAATATTTCACAATAGGTCTTGAATTAAGAAATCCTCAAATTATATTGTCTGAGAACATACAGAATTCTGTATCAGTGCAGCTAAGTAAAATAATCTGCTTTCGGCTATTCATGTTTAAGTTATTAACGTATCAATTGAAAGTTTTTACTTATAGTCAATTAATTTGGCCATTATCAAATTATTAACATCCAAAGGAAACTGACTCTCCCTAGATCATAGCTTTTAAATTGTAAATAAAAGAAAAATCTCAGCTTGATATACTTACTGAACAATAGTGATCATAACTTTTGCAGTATAAGCACTTAACCCTTTAGCATTTTTATTTTTAAATGAAAATTCAGGTAATTCATGTCCTACCCGGAATATTGTGAGAATTGCAGTGGCTTTGGAGTACGTGACTGTGATAGGAGCCTGTATTGTGGCTGTTTCTACTGTAAGGTATGTACAGTCATTTGGAGGGTTTTCAAATGTACTACTGAGATGAAATTCAGACCTTGAATGTTTCACCAAAACATTTTGATTTCTGTAGCTTAAAAGCATACAAATAAAAACGAAATATGTAAATGATAAATATGTAAGCATAAAGAAATTGTCCTCCTGTTTGGAGGCCATAAGCCCTGCTGCATCTACACAGTAGTATTTTAGTTGTAACATTGTGAACATGCCTTTTCCTTGACCAGATGTTAGATGTTCTCTTATGCTTTTCAAAAAGATCAGAAAGTTGATTATCCTTCACAACAATTTTGATAAATTGCTTTAAAAACAAATCAAGTATTGTTTAATTTCCTCCTTGTTTAAGGAAAAAAATAAGAAGAAACCCCAAAGACCCTCAAAGAAGGCTACACAGACCTAATCTGCAGTGGGACTTTTTTTTTTTTGGGCTACGCAGACCTAATCTGCAGTGGGACTACAAGCTCTATCTAATCCCCATACTGCAACAAGAGATATTTCCTTGCATATCTCTAATTTCTCAGCCTCATTTTTTTTCATCGCTCTGCCTAGCTCCTGAGCTGGTCAGAATTCAAGGCCGCATGGACTTAGTGACTTCAGCCTTACACCCTCTCTTCCATCCATGCCATCTCCTCCATCTCACTTGTGCACTGAACAGTTGTGGTGAGCAGCGCCCAGCCTGTAGGCTTCCACTTTACTCTGTGACATTGGATTTCATGCTCGTGCAGTGGCAAGAGGCTGCATCTGTTTTATCGGATTCTGTCCTTCCTTTGCATTTATAGTGAGTGTCCTTTAACAAAATCAAATAAACAAGAACAATTTTTGCTCTTATTTTTTAAAGTAAGTCTTCCTGTGATTGACAGCAGGGCCCTAACCGCAGGGAAAGCTATCTTCGCGCTCCTCGGGGCCTTGACAAGCCAAACTCGCAAAGCTTCGGGAGACATTTTGCAAAGATTCACAGGAGGTGATAAACACACATCAGCAAACAGGCACACAAATGGTTGAGACTCCATCTTTTCTTGTTTCCCCCCATGTTCTTGATAATCAGTCGCAACTTCAGCCAACCTTTGAGATGCCTCTGTTTCAGCTTATTGAAAAACATACAACAAAGCTTGAAAGAATTTAGACAAAATCCCCTTAATCTAGGACTTTTTTTTTTTTTTTTTT